GTAGGACTTACGATCCCTGCATGGAGGAAGCCATGTACTTTCTGGACCTTTGCGAGCACAGCCAACCCGCATAGCGGAAGGGCGGGCAACTGTCCCAAGGGTACCCTCGCATCCTTGCCTCCTCGGTCCATCCTTCGTCACCTTCGCTGGCTCGCCCAGCTTGAAGGCCTCGAGATGGCCTTCCAAGGCCCTTGCATCCTTCTCGTGCGCCCTCATGGTACGAGCTGCCTGCAGACATTTTGCGAGCAGCGGAGCGCGCTCGATGACAGGAGCAGCGGCAGCGGCGCCGCGCCTCGGTCCGCGCTTCGGGCGCCTCGCTCCGCGCTGGCCGCCGCAGCGGCGGCGGCGGCCGCGGCCGTGCGCGGGGGGAGCTCCGGAGAAGGAAAAGGTACCCCCATATTCCTGCCTTCGCCCGTTGTCCCTTCTTCCTGCCTCCTGGGGGGCCCTCGTCGCCACCGCTGTGGATTCGCCTCGCAATCCTCGTCCGAACGCACCCCGGGAGAAGTCCGGGAGTAGCGGTATCGGTACCTCTTGGCCCTCCTCCTCCTCCTCCTCCCCCTCCCCCTCCTCCTCCACCTCCTCCTCCTCCTCCTCCTCCTCCTCCTCCTCCTCCTCCTCCTCCTCCTCCTCCTCCTCCTCCTCCTCCCCCTGATCCTCCTCCTTCTCTCCTCCGCCTCCTCCTCCTTCTCCTCCGCCTTCTCCTCCCCCTCCTCCTCCTCCTTCTCCTCCTCCTCCTCCTCCTCCTCCTCCTCCGCCTCCTCATGTGTATCGATGCCGCTGGTCGCCCTGGAGGGAACCGGTCGCCACGGCCGGGTTCTCGCGGAATGCCCATGGGCTCTTCCAGGCGGGCTATCGGGTCGGCTGCTCGCGCCGGCGCCGCCGAGGCAGCGGCGACGCGGCTCGACGTGGAGCCCCATGCTCGCCACGCCGATGCATCGGCGGTGCATCGCTGGCCTCGCCGATGCATCGGCGATGCGGCGTGATCCTCCGACCTCCCATCTCGTTGCTCCGACCCCACCTGGGAGGCCTCCGAGGGATATTCTCCTCGACCCAGAGAGCCGGCGTCGTGGTTTTTCCCATGCGCTGCCCCCCGAAGTCTCGACCCCATTCCCAGGACCGGTGTTTCATCCTGAGCCGTTTTTTGACGGTCCCGGGGCCCGGCGAGGGCCCCCAGAGGCCGAACATCGAGAAAACCGCCGTCTTGTTTTTTTTCGATGCGTTGAAGGTCTGGGGGCTCCTCTCTAGTCCGAGCGCACCTCGGGCGAGTTCCAGGGAGGCGGCGGCAGCGGTGCCTCTTGCTGCTTCCTCAGGAGCCACCTGGGGCGAGCGGCCTCGCAGGCCGCCCCTCCCGGAGGAGGGCCAGTCGAGCCAGCTCGGAGGGGGGGCTCGATGTGTGCACCACTCAGGAGGGAAAAGACACACAGACACAATTAATCGCCGATTCCCCAGAAAATGTGGGAACATATGGGAAGTGGGGAGGAATACGAAAACCCCAAAAATATTGGAAAATATTGTGAATCCTGTTATTTGTATCTATTTGTTTGTGTGTCCCAGGGCCCCTTCAACCACGTCGCCTGGCAGGCCAAGGGGCCGATGGGGTCCAGCGGAGGAGTCGCCGCATGCGGTCATGAACTCTGGCTCGGCGTGCCGCGCGGCAGTCACTGGCCCACCATGCTAGGGCGCGGCACGCGAATCGCGTCCCCGTCACCGAGCGCCAACGTCCCGAGCTTCTCCCGGCCTCCTGCCCCTCGGAGCGGCGCGACACGCCATCCGCTTGCGAGGCGTGGCGTATCGCTGGGGCCGCCGCCGCGACACGCTAAGCAGATGTTCCTGACCGTAGACGCTCGAGCGCCCCACGGCCTTTGGTATGATACTGCTGGGGTCTGCTTCGGGTGCCCTCTTGGACAGCTTTTGTGCCTCCTCCTGTGAGGACGGGAGAGGAATGGAACGCCCGTAGGCGGGCGCGCACTTAGTGTCCGCCTGGCCCTGGCAGGCAACGATTGGGTGTGGGTGTGTGGAGGCGGGGCACCCGAATAAATGCAAGCACGCAGTGGAACCGCGCTCCTTGGTCGACCTGCCGATTTGGTGCGTACTTCGAGCCCCTCCCAGCAGCGGGCGGCCCTCCCGGGCGTTCCTGGTCCTCTGCGGGCCCACGGGAGGCTCCTCGCCGCCACGGCGGGATCCTCCTCCTCGGAGAAGGGGCCACGGCTGGACCCATGGGAGGGGTCCAGGGGCCGATCTCGAGCGGATCTCGGCTGCGCGTCAGAGTGGCTCTTTCGCTGGGGTGGCCTCGTGGTGCGGGCCCAAAGGGGGTCCCCCCCAGCACTGCCCCAGGCACTGCCCCAGGCACTGGCCTGCGCGCGGGCGCGCTTGGGTCTGGCCCCCCCCATTTGCGGCCTGCGGCAGCCGCGCACCAGGGCCACTCTTCTGCGTGCCGCCGGGCATCGCTGCTCCGCCGGGAGGGCCGCCGCTGTTCGGGCGGGCCCGGGACCGGGACAAGTCGTTCCGGAGCGTTCCAGGCAGCCCTCTCGGAGCGTTCCGGGGCGCTCTGGAACGGCCGCGGCGCCCGACACGTCCTTGAGGACCGCCAGGGGTCAGAGGTCCCCGATGTGTCCAGATCCGATGTTGTCCCGGTCCTGGCTGCGTTGTCGTCGTCTCGGCCGGCCCTCTCCCGATCGCCCCCGGAAGGCCACAAGGCGAGCCGAGGGCGACGGGGCGGCCGGGAGCGCACTCGCCGAGTTCGGGGAGGGCTGCGCGTTCTATATCAACCTGGTTCGCTGCCATGGGGGGGGAGGCAGGAGAGGCTGGATCCAGCCGCTGTGTGATATCTCGAAGAAGAACAAGCACGCTATAAACATAAACTGTTGGCGCTCCGCGCGGATTTTCAATCCGCGCTGGGCCCCCACAGCGGCGCCTCCGGCGCCGCCCCTGGCGCGCTCCATGCGCCAGGGAGGAGGGTCCAGCACATATCCAAGAAATCAATTTTTCTGATAATGTCTGGCCCCGAGCCAAGCCTCCGGGTCAGCTTTAGAGGTCGCCGCGGCGATCGCAGCGGCCACACATCGGGGCAAAGTCTTTGTTGAGGAATGGCACGTCACTTCCCAGCCCCCCCTCCCCGCTGTGCGATGTAGACGTGGCTCAGAATTGACAACCTCGTAGCGACAGAGAGTTGCCAATGTATGCCCAACATGGGCATTCATGTTGTTTTGGGTTAGGGGCCTGTTATCACGCAGCCATCCAGGCATCCCAGATGGGGTCTGAGCAGATGGGGTCGGAGGATCGCGCCGCATCGCCGATGCATCGGCGATGCGGCGCGATGGTGAGCCTGGCGTTTTTTCGCGTCGACGTCGCCGATGCAGCGCGATCCTCCGACCCCATCTGCTCGGATCACATGTGGGAGGCCTCTAGAGGAGGGGGGAGGAACGCGGGTCCGAGGCAGGGATTCATCCATAGCCACCGCCTGCGGGGTCAGATCTTCGCGGACCTCGGCAGGCGGCGGATACGGATGTATCGATGTGTTCGGGCCCGGGGGGGGCACACACACAGACAAACAGACACACAGACAAACAGACAAACAGACAAACAGAAAAAGAGACAAACAGACACAGACACAGACACAGACACAGACACAGACACAGACACAGACACAGACACAGACACAGACACACACACACAGACACACACACACAGACACACACAGACGCACACACAGACACACACACACACAGACACACACACACACAGACACACACAGACCCACACAGACACACACAGACACACACAGACACACACACATATATATATATATAGACATATATATATATACATCACCGCCTGCCAAGGTCCCCAGATATCGATCCACAAGCGATGGTTATGTATTAATCCCCCCCTCGCGGCAGGGGAGGGTGGAGGGATCAGGCTCGGCGGCCAGATCGCGTGGAGCGGCTGCAGCGCACGCTGTCGCGAGGCGGCCCAGGCATCGGCAACACAAACAGCGGCACAAGCGTAAACCTCCGGAGCCCACCGCGGAGTTCTTGCATCTGTGCTGGACGCCCCGCCCCCGGCGCGCGGTTTGCGCGCCGGCGGCGGCGCCGGAAGCGCCGCCAGGGGGGGGGGGGGGCGGTCCCGCGCCGAACAGCAGAAAGTCGCGCGGAGCTCCGAAGGTATCTGTCCGTGCCGTCCTCTGTTCTCAGGAGGGGGAAAAACACACAGACACAATTCATCGTCGATCCCGCAGAAAATGTGGGAAGATATGGGAAGTGGGGGGGGAGACAGAAACCCAGAACATATGGGAGAATAGGGGGAATGTCTTTATTTGTGTCTATTGATTTGTGTGTCCCAGGGCCCCTTCACTCTGTGCTGCCCCCAGGTCTGCTGCAGCGCGCGCGCCGCATCCGCGGGCAAGGTGTGCGTCCACCTCCACGGCAGCCCGGACCTCCTGGGAGATTTGGGGGCATTGCCTGAGTTTTTTTTTGTTTTTTCACCCACAATCCCCCTTTAGAGAGACACGCCCGACTCAAACCTAGGCTTAAGTCAGGCACGTCCCTCTACAGGGGGAATCTTCATACGGTCACGCTTGTGATTAAGAAACCTCCCCCCCCCGAACAGCTGGCCCAGCGTTTCTCAACCAACTTGGCGGAAAGCTGGCTCGGCTTCTTAAGGGGATTGATAGCCTTGGACCCTAGAAGGGAATAACGTACGGTCCTGGCTCCCAAAGCTGGCCTGGCGTTTCTTTATTTTGGCCCAGCTTTATTTGTTGATAGTTTTCTTAATCATATTTTTGATGGTAGATAGTCAAAAGATAGTATTGGGTCAATTTGTTTTTCTATTGTTGAGCACGTTGAGCACTGTTGAATATTCTTCGATCATTCTTATTTTTTCTTCGAAAGCCCGCCTGTAGGGGGGCATGCCCGATCTACCCTAGGGGTCAGACTCTTAGCCATACCCGCTGCGCATCTGGCTTTGGGAAAGGGAATTCGAATCTCCAGGGCGCAGCAGGTATGGATGCAGACCTTGCCCGCAGCATCGATGCGGTCGACGGCCGAGACCTGCGGCTGCAGTGGGACAGCGGCCAGGTCTTCGGCTGCGTGGAGCCGGCGGCCGTAGCGCGCGGGTGGCGGGCGCAGCGGCTCGGCATTTACACCGTCGTGCACAGCGGGCCGGAGCTGCTGCACTTCAACAACCACCTGACCGAGGGAGGCATGCATCATCGAGGAGAAAAGAACCCCGAAATTTATAAAATAGTGAAGACGTGGCCTCATTGAGGTCCCCGTCGTCGCATTAGGGAAAATAGATCTGGGCGGCTTGGTTTGATACATCTGCAGACAAAAGACCCCTTGTCCCTAATGTTTCTGGCCCTCCCAGCTTTGGTCCCCTCACAAAGGGTTAGGAGTCGTTTTTTGGTTCGTAAATTCAGGCGTGCGATGTCCGTTCATGGGAGCCCTGGGTGGGGACATTCGAGTCAACTTCGTCTGCATTTGGACCTTTGGACCGCATTTGGCACTTCCTCCTGCTCGTCCTCGCCCGTCCTGTTTCCCCCCCGCACTCCTCGTCGCCCTCGTGAAGGGGCGAATCTGGTCCAACTACGGTCCAAATCCAAACCCAAATGCGTTCCAAATCCTTTGGCTCAAGCCACCCTGGCTTGAGGCGGAAGATCGCCACAGTGGCGGCCAAGGGGCGGTCAAGAGGGACCGCACGGATTACACGTCACACCCGTGCCACGGCCCCGCCCTGGCACACGCCACTCCATCCCTCCCTGCTTCACCTCTTTCGCCACTCTGTGGCCGCGACTGGCCGCCAGCCAGGCTTCTGGACCTGAGCGCGGCACTGTGCCTGTGGGAGGTGCCCGCTCCTTGGCCGCCGCTGCGGCCACCCTGTCTTCTCGGGGGCGTCCCAGTGGCTCACTTGGACGTGTGCTGGCTTGCTCCCACCTCACATCACTCGCCCAGCCTGAGTCGGGCGTGTCCCCGTACGGAATGAAGATTCGCAAGTAGTCAAAAACAGTCTGCGGACGATCTTTGATTTTTTTTGGATTCTGGTTCGATTATGTCTTGTTCTCCTTCGAAAGACCGCCTGTAGGGGGACATGCCCGACCTAACCTCAGCCTTCCGCAGCCTCTTCATCCAGCTGCCCTGGCGGCCTCGCCTCGCGAGGCGGCCTCGCCTCGCGAGGCGGCCTCGCCCCGCAGGGCGGGGGGGGCGGCGCGGCGCACCAGCAGCTCGGGCGAAGCGTGGCCAGTGCCGTGGCGTCGTCCTCACCCGCTGCGGTGGAGAGCATAAAACGACGCGAAGATCGGGACAAAATCGGATCGGGATAACTCGAAATCTCTGAGAATCGGCGGGTTTGGAGGATGTATTGGGCGCCGCGGCCGCTCCAGAGCGTTCCGGAACGCTCTGAGAGCGCTTCGGAACGCTCTGGAGCGATTTATCCCGATCCTAGCCCTGTTTTAGAACAGGAGCGTGGACTCATCGAGGATCAAAGAGCCCCAAAGCCTAATAGCACGATGCAGACGTGGCCTCGCTGAGGCCCCCGTCTTTGCATCAGGGATCACAGTTGTGGGCGGTTTGGTCTGCTGCCTGCTACATGTGCAGCACAGGCCCCCTTATCCCTAATGCTTTGTTTTTGGCCCTCCTAACTTAGGGCCCCTCCCAAGGGGTTCGGGGTTTTTGGCACTCATTGACGACGATGCTAGGAAGACGGGCCTCGCGCAGGGCGCTGGCGCGCTGGTCCCACCGCCAGCTGAACTCGCCCCGGTATCGGCGCCAACCCCTGCTGCAGCTGGGGCCGGGACGCTGGCTGAGCTAGGTGCGGCCCTCGCAGCGAACTGCCCCCTGAGGTCGCGAAGGAGCGCCGACGCCAGCGTCACTCAGCAATCTACGTGTGGCATGAGCTTGGCGCGAAAGCGCTCAGGCTCATCCGCGCCACGGCCCCGTCAGCAACAACGGAGGTGGTGCTCGCACAGTGGTCGGATCTTCTGCTGCCCGCGGCCGTTGCTCAGCGCCTCCATGGCGGCATGTTGACAATCCACCAGAGCCGCCACCTTGCAGCATTCGCAACCAAGAGAGACGGTCGCATATTTGCCGTATTGGGATGCCGCCCAGCGGTCCCCTGGGCCCTTGCGGACAGCTCAGCGGTGGGTCGCCTTCACTCCACGTGCACGAGGATCTCCGCCGAGCAGGGCGGCCCACCATGTCTCCGCCTTTTGGCCCCCTTGGAGTTCTTCTGGGACTGCCGTGCGCTGGAGGCCATCCAGGCCCCAACTCCGGAGGTGTGAAAGTTACAACCAGCTTGCTTGGTTGGGTGGGCAGCTGGGATTGCCCAGGGAGTCGTTGAGCTTCGCCTTGGATCTTGGATCCGGTGCCGTTTTGGCTCAAGACCTCCCCGCTTTCCCAAGCGTTGCTTTTATTGGCGGTGCGGGAGAGTAAGACTCTCGGCGACTGCCAGGGGCATGTGTCCCATTCATGAGGAGCGTGCGGCGATCGTCAGCGTGGACGCTCTGCTCGATTGAGCCGACGTCACGGCGACTCGCGCGCCGCGACCCGCGCGCCGCGTCACCAGCTCGTGGGGATGGCTGGCACTGGTCCGCTGCACACGTTCGCCGCGGTGCCGCCTACGGAGCTCGTGCCAGCCCTTGGCCTGCTCCAGATCGGAGCCGATGCGAGGCCGCCGCAGCTCGCACTGACGGCCAAGATCAACAACGCGTATCGCGTGGCCCGCGCGCTGTGCGGCGTCGAGCGGCCCCTGGAGGAGCAGGCGGCGGCGGCGGCAGCGGCGGCGGCTGCCCAGGCCCAGCCCCTCCCCCGCGGCCGGTCGGCGCCGCCGCGGTCGGGCTCGAGCACGTCATCGACCAGGCGCTCACGGCCGAGATCCTGGCGTTGAGCGACGCGGATATCCAGCTCGGGCATTCTGAGTACAGGCGCCGCATGACTATGCCAGGCGAGGGCGGGGAGCCGACGTCGGATCAGCTGACGGCCGTGAGTCACTTGCTCATGTCGGGCACGCCGCCGCATGCGCCGACTGCGAGGCGTGCGGCCCCCATCAGCTTCGGCTTCGCTGCCGGCTGAAATTTAGTGGGATGACCATCGCCCGCGACGGTCACTTCAAGTCCGTGGAATTTCGTGGCCCGCCGAGCGTGGAGGAATGGCTGGCCTGCCACCGCGCGCTGGCCGCGCGCCTGATCATGCTCAAGGCGGTGACGCCCGCGCGGCTTGAGCGACATGCGCAGATGATCGTGGAGTTCGCCGCCAGGTGCTCGAAGACCGCGTGGGCGATCGTCTACCAGGCGGACGTCCGGATGAGGCTCGGGCACGCGCAGTCCTTGCGCCGCGACGCGCTCGAGAGGATCGCTTCCGATCCCACGGGTTCCGCGCCCGGGGGGCTCGATCAGAACGCCCTCTGGGAGTGCGTCCGGGGCTGGGCCGCGGAGAATTCCGACAGGTTCTGGAACGAGCTGTTGGTGGAGCCGTCCGTCCTCGTGCTGTCGCACGCGGCCCAGTTGGGGGCGACGGCGCGCGGCGGCGCTCAGGTCGCGGGGCGGCCCCGCCAGCAGGCATCACCCGCGCCTGCCCGCGCGAGCCCCGCCGGCGCGCCTCCTGCGCCGCCCGCGCGCCACCCCGCCGCCCGCCGCAGCACCTCGCCGCGAGCGCAGGCCCACGGAGCACAACTGCACCGCCAACGGCCGCACGGCGACGAACCGCAAGGGCCGCAAGCTCTGCGAGACGTTCCAGACGGGCGCGTGCGCGACTCTTCCGGGCGGAATCACATGCTCCGCCAGCCCGGATTTCGCGCGCCAGCGCGCGGTGCGCCTCGCGCCAGGCCGCGGCGCCAGCACTTGTGCGAAGCGGGGCGCTCGGGGCCCGAGCGCCGAGGGGAAGTGTGGCACGCGGGGCGGCCGCGGCCCCTACTGAGGGGCCTCCGGCGACGGGGGCCCCCAGCCCGTCGCTCGGAGCAGCATCGACATTGGGAGTGAGTGCCATGAGAAGGACGTGCCAGATGCAGGGCAAGCATGCCTGGCCGAGATCCCTCTGGGGGGTGGCAGGGCGGCGCCCGCCAGCAGCCGCTCCCCCGTGGGCCGCCCGCAGCTGTCCGCGGCCTGCCGTTGCTGGGCTTCTCGGCAACAGTCCCGAAGCTCCACCTGGCCACCTTCGCGTCGAAGTCCACGGTCTGCCAGTGGGAGGCGGCCTCGGAAGGCGGCCGAACGTGCTGCTCGAATCCGTCGCGGGCGGTTCTACATCTGCGCCGTCGCTAGAGCGCCTCGGAACTGGGGCGCCGGGGTCCCCGCAGGCGTCCTCCCTCCAGCTGGGCGCCGTCGGGCGGCGCTTCGAGGAGCGCGGGCCGACGCCAGTGCGAGCGGCCCTGGGGACCCGAGCCAGGAGCACGGATCGGCCGCGCAGGCTTTGGCCATCCACTTGCGCGCGCCCTGATTCGGGAGGGGAAAAACACACAAACACAATTGATCGCCGATTCCCCGGAAAATATGTGGAAATATGGGAAGTGGGGGGGAAGACAAAAAACAGAACATATGGGAAAGTATGGGGGATACTTTTATTAGTGTGCATTTATTTGTGTGTCCTGGGGCCCCTTCAGCTGTGCCCCCCACGGGCGTTTGCCGCCTGCATCGGGACCACTTGGGGCGGCTGGGCATCGGGTCGCCATTTCCAGAGGCTCACGCGCCGTTTCTTTGGACGCGTTGCTGGAGAAGTTTCCAGGCCTTGGGCGTTCGAGCGACTTCGTCCCGATGTTCTCTTGTTGTTCCCAACCATCCTGTGGTGTTGGGTCCTCGTTTTGAAGAGACGGTGCCCCGCGTCTCCTCTCCTCTCCTCTCCTTCCTTCCTTCCTCCCGCTGCCCCCTCCCTCGTCACCGCACCCAATTTGGCACACCCCTCACACGCTTCGTGGCCCCATATGGGGGCTCCACCGAAGGCCCCAGTGGCTGCGTCCGCATGGCGGCGCCGCACCCAATTTGGCACACCCTTCACACGTTTCGTGGCCCCATAGGGAGCTCCACCGAACGCCCCAGCGGCTGCGTTCGCATGGCGGCGCCGCACCCAATTTGGCACACCTCTCACACGCTTCGTGGCCCCATAGGGAGCTCCACCGAAGGCCCCAGTGGTTGCGTTCGCATGGCGGCGCCGCACCCATTTCGGCACACCCCTCACACGTTTCGTGGCCCCATAGGGAGCTCCACCGAAGGCCCCAGTGGCTGCGTCCGCATGGCGGCGCCGCACCCAATTTGGCACACCCCTCACACGTTTCGTGGCCCCATAGGGAGCTCCACAGAATGCCCCAGTGGCTACGTTCGCATGGCGGCGCCGCGCCCAAGTTGGCACACCCCTCACACGCTTCGTGGCCCCATAAGGAGCTCCACCGAAGGCCCCAGTGGCTACGTTCGCATGGCGGCGCCGCACCCAATTTGGCACACCCCTCACACGTTTCGTGGCCCCATAGGGACTCCACCGAAGGCCCCAGCGGCTGCGTTCGCATGGCGGCGCCGCACCAATTTGGCACACCCCTCACACGTTCGTGGCCCCATAGGGAGCTCCACCGAAGGCCCCAGTGGCTGCGTTGGCATGGCGGCGCCGCACCCATTTGGCACACCCCTCACACGTTTCGTGGCCCCATAGGGAGCTCCACCGAAGGCCCCAGTGGCTGCGTTCGCATGGCGGCGCCGCACCCAATTTGGCACACCCCTCACACGTTTCGTGGCCCCATAGGGAGCTCCACCGAAGGCCCCAGTGGCTGCGTTCGCATGGCGGCGCCGCGCCCAAGTTGGCACACCCCTCACACGTTTCGTGGCCCCATAGGGAGCTCCACCGAAGGCCCCAGTGGCTGCGTTCGCATGGCGGCGCCGCACCCATTTGGCACACCCCTCACACGTTTCGTGGCCCCATAGGGAGCTCCACCGAAGGCCCCAGTGGCTGCGTTGCGCATGGCGGCGCCGCACCCATTTCGGCCCCACACCCCTCATGGCACGTTTCGTGGCCCCATAGGGAGCTCCACCGAAGGCCCCAGTGGCTGCGTTCGCATGGCGGCGCCGCACCCAATGTGGCACACCCCTCACACGTTTCGTGGCCCCATAAGAAGCTCCACCGAAGCTCCCAGTGGCTGCGTTGGCATGGCGGCGCCGCACCGAAGAAGATGTTCACTATTGCGGTACTCGCAGCTGCATATGGTTGGGTCCTTCGCCAGGCTAATTTTTTGTTGTTCCTCTTCCTCTCCATGTTTACTTTTCTCAAGGTTCTTGCTTTGGTCCAGTTGCTCCTGATGTGCAACTCGTGGGGGGCTCCATAGCTCGGGCCGCCGTCTGCAAAGCTAAAGGCAGCGCGGGTTACGACGGATGCAATTCGAGCGAGCTGAAAATGATTTCAGAACACTTCAAGTTTCTCCTGTTCGACCTCTACATGCTGTGGCGCGACACCTGCGAGACTCCTGGTCTGGTCGAGCGCCCCTCCCTGGAGCTCCAGCACTTCATTTTCGCCTGGCGCGTCGTGGGGGTGCCAAAGAAGGACCCCGCACAGTCTCGCCCCATTGGGGTGGGTTCGGTGCTCCTCCGGGCCTGGCTCACAGCCCGTGAGCCGAGCCTCCCCGCACCGCAGGACGCCCAGTTCGACTGCAAGGCTGGCTCCACGGTGGTGCACGCCTGCTGCCTGCGGCTGCGCGCCTGCCAGCGCGGCCAGTGCGGGCTGGAACGGGGCCTGTCCGAATGCTGCGACAACGTGCCGCACGCTGTAGCGAATGCGGCCCTGCGCAACGCTAGCGCGCCACGCCGCGTCCGAGCTGTGACCAACGCTGCCTGGCGGGGCCCTCGGACGTGCCAAGTGGCGGGGGAGCTGGCTGGGGAGACCATCTGGCCCGCGCGCAACCTCGCGCAGGGGGGCAGCACAGCCCCCAAGGTACTATGTCACGAAGGTTCTGTTCACGGACGACCGGTCCTCCCTCTGCGACTCCCTCGCACAGATGGAGACGGACGCGCAGACCACCAACACCTTCGGCTCAGGCACGGGCGCCATCGAGAACGTCGGGAAGCGCCAGTGCTGGAAGCGGGGCGACGAGCAGCAGATCGAGCACATCGGCATCCTCGCCGTGCCCGACGACCCCTACGCGAAGATCACGCCCGCAGCAGGCTGAGACAAGCTCCGCAAGTGCCTGGCGGCCCTTCGCCGCCTCCCTGGAGGCAGCGAGTCCCAGGCCACGGCCGTGCGGGCCTACGCGACGCCGTTTTGGACGTGGTGTTCACCAGTCTTTTCTCTGCCACCCCCTGACGTAGTCCACGCTACGATGGCGGCGGTGCTCTCCACGAGGTGCCCTTGGTGGTGCTGGGGGCGTTTCTGGGCCTCCAGCATCGACTTGCACCCTGTCTACGGCGCGGTCCTCGTGGCCATCGATCGCATCACCTATTGGGACATCCAGCGGAGTGATTTCCTTGAGGTGAACGTCGTGGCGTTTTTCGAGGCTATCGGTTTCGAATTCTTGCAGTATGACCCTGGGCGAGGTGTCCAAGTCCGACGTCCAGATGACGAGCCGGACGCGCTCGTGCGACGCCTGCGTGGACGTAGACACATTTTTTAGAGCGACGAGGAGAGGGTGCCGCACCTGATCCGCCAAGTATGCCGGGCAAGAGCCTTGGCCAGTACCCGTGCTGAGCGCAATGGCGCAGAGGGGGTTGATTTGATCGACCTCGAAGCCTCCTCGGCGTAAGTTTGGGCCACTTTCAGGGACGCCCTGGCGCTTGAGGACACGATCCACCTGAAGATTTTCTGCTGCGGTGCAACCCGCAGCCCGACGCGACGATGGAGCACCAGCAGGCCAGAGCGAACAGCGACCTGTCTGTCCATCCTGCGGGGGGGCCCATCCCAGCATGCGCCACTACGTGGCCGAGTGCTGCTCCTTGGACGCTTCCCGCCAGGAGTTCAATTCCACGTACCACATTCCACCGGACCGGTGGTCACGCCAGCCGCGGGCTACACTGAAGACGGGTTGGATTACCTTCTCGGCTCACACGTGGGGCTCGTTGCCATGCCAAAGATGACAGAGTTTTGTGAGGTTCTGAACCAGGCCTAGGACGTTCGAGCGACTTTGTCCCGATGTTCTCTTGTGGCTACTTGTTCTTCCTCTTCCTCTCCATTGTTTTGTTCCTCCAGGTTCTAACTTCTGTTCAGTCGTTCCTGATGTACAACTCGTGGTGGGCTCCACACAACATGATGTTGATTGCTGGCGTGTGTCTGCCGTCGTCTGGGCTCGCGCGCCACATGGCGCCAGATCAGGGTCTGGCCAGCGTTTTGGAGATGGCCCCTCCGTGGTCCGAAGCGACTGCCCCAGAGCTGCGTCTCCGAGCCTTTGCTAGGCACCGCTGGTATCTATATCAGTCGTTCCTGGGCCCGCCACGGCAGCCTCCAGCGGAGCACCTGCGTGCCGCAGCGTTTTTTGGCAGATGCTTCGGGAACTCGCTGGAGGATCTTAGGTCCACCATTTAGCGCTCGCCGTGCGAGTACGCCGCAGGCGTTGCGCCTGTCCGCCCTGTTACCTAACAGCGAAGACCGATAGGTTTCTAGTAGGGTCAGAAGAAAGCATCATGACGCCCCAGGTGGGTCTGGGCGCGATCCGGGGAGATGCCGGGTTTTTTTTTAGCCAGCAGAAACACACTTTGTGGTCTTCGAGGTTCCAGAATTCCATTCCCGGGCCACATTCTGAATCCCCGGAGCCAACTGTAGGCCACTTCGTGCTCTTCGAGTTCCCAGAACTCCATTCCCGGGCCACATTTTGAATGCCCGGAGCCAATAGGCCACTTCGTGCTCTTCGAGTTCCCAGAACTCCATTCCCGGGCCACATTTTGAATGCCCGGAGCCAACTGTAAGCCATTTCGTGCTCTTCGAGTTCCCAGAACTCCATTCCTGGGCATGATTTTGGATGCCCGGAGCCAGCTGTAGGCCACTTCGTGTTCTTCGGGTTCCCAGAACTCCATTCCCGGGCCACATTTTGAATGTTGAGGCAGGCTGATGCTGAGGCTGAGGCAGGCTGAGGCTGAGGCCGTGGCTGAAGGCAGACTGAGGCTGAGGCTCCAGCAGGCTGAGGCTGAGGCTGAGGCAGGCTGAGGCTGAGGCTGAGGCAGGCTGAGGCTGAGGCTGAGGCAGGCTGAGGCTGAGGCAGGCTGAGGCTGAGGCTGAGGCAGGCTGAGGCTGAGGCTGAAGCTGAGGCTGATGCTGAGGCAGGCTGAGGCTGGCAGGCTGAGGCTGATGAGGCAGGCTGAGGCTGAGGCTGAGGCAGGCTGAGGCTGAGGCAGGCTGAGGCAGGCTGAGGCTGAGGCAGGCTCTGAGGCTGAGGCTGAGGCTGAAGCAGACTGAGGCTGAGGCTGAAGCAGGCTGAGGCTGAGGCTGAGGCAGGCTGAGGCTGAGGCAGGCTGATGCTGAGGCAGGCTGAGGCTGAGGCTGAGGCTGATGCAGGCTGAGGCTGAGGCAGGCTGAGGCTGAGGCTGAGGCTGAGGCTGAAGCAGGCTGAGGCTGAGGCTGAGGCAGGCTGAGGCTGAGGCTGAGGCTGAGGCAGGCAGGCTGAGGCTGAGGCTGAGGCTGAGGCTGAGGCTGAGGCCGAGGCTGAAGGCAGACTGAGGCTGAGGCTGAAGCAGGCTGAGGCTGAGGCAGAGGCAGGCTGAGGCTGAGGCTGAGGCAGGCTGATGCTGAGGCAGGCTGAGGCTGAGGCTGAGGCTGAGGGCTGAGGCTGAGGCAGGCTGAGGCTGAGGCCGAGGCTGAAGGCAGGCTGACTGAGGCAGCTGAGGAGGCTGCAGGCTGAGGCAGAGGCAGGCTGAGGCTGAGGCTGAGGCAGGCTGATGCTGAGGCAGGCTGAGGCTGAGGCTGAGGCTGATGCAGGGTGAGGCTGAGGCAGGCTGAGGCTGAGGCCGAGGCCGAAGGCAGACTGATGTTGAGGCTGAAGCAGGCTGAGGCTGAGGCTGAGGCTGAGGCAGGCTGAGGCTGAGGCAGGCTGATGCTGAGGCTGAGGCAGGCTGAGGCTGAGGCTGTGACTGCGACTGCCGTGGCCACTGCGACTGTCATCGCGAATGCGACTACGACTGCGATAACAGCAGAATTCTAAAACAGGATTATCATCTGAATATTAAGGGGAATGCTTCCAGATATGCTCCTACACATCGCTGTTAGGTCGCTTTGCCGGGATAATCTTTTTTTCCTCCCGCGCTCGCCTCCAGGAGGCGGAGCTCCAGCTAGCCCCTCTTGGGTGGACCGAAGCTCCTGTCAGTTTCTCCTCGCTCCCCCCCAAAGGTCATGCAGCTGGGCATTTCAACCCAAGGGCGCTCGCTAGCAAACTCACCCTTTTCTCCCCCCTCTCCTCCTCCTTCTCCTCCTCCCCCTCCTCCTCGTCTGTGGTTTCATGTGCGTTTAACCCTTTTGTGGCGGTCCGCTGCGGCGTCCCTCGCTTGCGGTGGCCTCCCAGGAGCTGGATGAAGAGCAAGCGCCGGGGGCACGTTTGTTCTGGTAGTTTTTGTTCCAGTCCCAGCCCTCTCTGCTCCTTCTGCCCTTCCGTTCCCCTTCCCCCCTCCTTCCCGTCGCTCTTTTATTGGTTGCCTGCCGATGCCCGCGCTCCGTGGCGCACTCATGGGCCGTCGCTGGCTGAACTCGGGGTCTCCCCGAGCTTGCCCATCGGCCTCCCTTTGTCGCCCCACACTCCGCGCTCCCCCCAGCCGCCGGGCTGGCTCATGCCACTCTCACGGCAGTGCAGCTCTCTTTCAGGTTCGCTCGCCAGACCGTATGTAGTTGCCGTTCGGATGCCGATGTTGGCTTTGCTTGTCCCATTCCATGTGGGCGCTGGTGCCACTCCATTGGGGCGGTCTTTTAATTGAATCAGCCGCATGGCCGTCTGGGCTTCAGCTTGCTTTTTGTTGAATGTGCATTGTTCTCGCGACTGTTGTGGTGCGATGCCCAATAACATTGATGGTCTCTAGGCCCATCAGTGGATGCATGCGCTACTCCATTATCAGTCCCCCTCGCCTCGCTTCTCCTCCTCCTCCTCCTCCTCCTCCTCCTCCTCCTCCTCCTCCTCTTCCTCGTCCTCCTCTCCCCTCTTCCATCCCGCGTGGCCGGTGCCTTCTTTTACTTCTGGCATCAGGCCTAATCCTCCTGTGCAGGTTCGGCCTTCACCCCTCCTGATTGGGGGCTGCAGATCTGCACCCCCGATCTCTCCCCCCCCTGGCTCGAGAGAGTCGAACGGCCCGCGCGCGAGCCAACACCACGCTGAGGTGATTGCTTTTTCGCGGGGAAAAATAAGAAGTCCAACATGACATGTGCTCCAAGTGCGGCCCAAACCTGGCCCCCAACGGACAGCGTGGGGGCGGCGGCCCGTGATGTGGCATCGCTCGGACGTGTGCATGTTTCGCTCGGCGAGGACCACCGAGGAGAGCAGCCTGGATCACTCGGCGAAAAAACCCACGCACGAGACCGAAAAAAAAAAAAAACACAGGGAATGGACGTCCGAGCGATGCCCAGGTGATGCTCCCGCGGAGCGGGCACCAAAATTCGGAGGGGGGCAAGTGGAGACAACGGCCGCTGGCCTTCGGCCGAGGGGGGGGGCTCGTCGCCACGGCCTCGAGAACGAGCTGCCGGCTGCCCCGCCCCTCCCCGCTCCGAGGCATCGCGTGCGCCATGTCCCACCAGAAGACGCTGCGGGCGGTCGCGAGCCACCCCACGGCGGACTGGGCCCTGATCCTCGAGGACGACATCGCCGACGTCGTGCCCCGCTTCGACGAGGTCCTGGCCCGCGTGCTCCGGCAGCTGCCGGAGGACTGGGACGCCGTCCTGCTCGGCTACCACGACAGCCACGGCAGGGTCGCGGGCGGAGTCGGGGGCGGTGTGCCCGACGTGCCCGTCAGGCCCACCCTCTGGCACGACTACGGGCTCTTCGCGTACGTGGTGCGCAAGAGCGCCGCGGCGCTGCTCCTGAGGCACGCGTTTCCCGTGAACGGCCAGGTGGACAAGGCGGTCACCGGCTGGCTGGCGCGGGAGCGCGGCCGAACCTTCAAGGTGGACCCGCAGAGCATGCTCCTCATCAGCCCGAAGAGCGAGGAAAGCCAGGATTCCGACGTCCAGACTCTCGGATCCATTGACCAGCTGGTGGAGCAGCACGGCGACGTGGCGGCTTACAACGAGCGCATGATTGCGGAGCGCGCCCTCTTCGAAGGCTATTAGGACCGGGCCCAGCTTGCACAGGATCCCCTCCGTCCTCCCCTCATTCTCCTCTTCCTCCTCCTCCTCCTCCTCCTCCCTGCCTCCTCCTCCGCCGCCTCCTCCCGCCTCCCCCCGACCGCCCTCCTTCTCCTCCGTCGGAGCCCGGCCCCCGTCGTGCCGCCTCCCGCCTGTGCCGCACCTGCTCGGCATCTGCGGTGGCCCTGGCTGCCCCCCCGCGCCCGCAGGCGCGCCGCTGGCACTCGGCCTGGGACTTGTGGACTTCCCTCCTTCCCCTCATTGGCGGTGGCGCTCGTCCTCCTCCTCCTCCTCCTCCTCCTCCTCCTCCTCATCATCATCATCATCGTCCACCTCCTCCTCCTCCTCCCCCTCCCTCCTCTCCTCCTCCTCCTCCTGCTACTCCTCCTTCTTCTCTTCCTTCTCCTCTTTTCCTTCTCCATTCGCTTTCTGTAAAAATAACTCCTCCCTGTCGCCCCCTGAGGCCGGTCGAAAGGGCCGGGCGTTTCGCCTGAGACTTCACCGCTTATGACTCTGAAGCTTAAATATTGACAACAGCTTCACGGATGGAGGGCGGGTCGCTTTTAGAATGTGGCTCTCGCCTAAGAACCGCGCACATTCGTTGTAAAAGCTTGCAAGAGTTTCACGGATTGAGGGCGTGCCGCTTTCAACAGATGGTTCTCGCTTCAGTGCCGCGCGCATTCGTTGTAACAGTTTGCGCATGAATTGCACAGCTTGAGGGCGGGTCACTTTCAAAATGTGGCCCTCGCCTTAGAACCGCGCACATTCGTCGTCGAAGCTTGCAAGCGCTTCACGGATTAAGGACGGGTCGCTTTTAGAATGTGGCTCTCGCCTAAGAACCGCGCTCATTCGTTGTAAAAGCTTGCAAGAGTCTCACGGATTGAGGACGGGTGGTTCTCAACATGTGGTTCTCGCCTTAGCGCCGCGCACATTTGTTGTAAGCAAATGCAAGAGCTTGACGGATTGAGGGCGGTTCCTTATCAAAGTGTGGCTATCCTTCTAGCGCCGCGCACATCCGATGTAGACAGTTGCAGGAGTTTCACGAATTCCTGTGGTTGACTTGCCAGGAACTGCGTTGTGGAACGGTTCTGGACTGCTAGGGTGCAACAATTACGCTGATTCGCGGTGTTGGAAGTCGCAGGACTGGTGTTCTGGCACGATTCAGGATCGTCAAGGCACAACATTCAGGCTCATTCGTGGCGTTGAGGTCCTGAGCATATTGTGTGGCACGTGTCAGGATATTCATGCGGTTGTCTCTCATCGGGGCACTTCCTTCGGTGGAAATGGAACCAAATCTCTTGAGGGGCGTATGAAGAGGGAGCTTGGGGGAGGGTTTGCTCCAACATCCTTGATGAGTCTTGGGTTTGCACTGGTCCCTCTTCCTCCTCCTGCTCCTCCTCATCATCACATCCTTATCCTCCTCATCTGCATCCTCCTCCTTTCTCCTTCTTTTTCGTCTTGTCCTCTTCCTCCCTCCCTCCCTCGCTCCCTGCCCCACTCCCTGCCTCCCCCTGTCCCTCCATCCCTCCCTCCCTACCTCCCCCTTTCTCTCCTCCTCCTCCTCCTCATCCTCCCTCCCTCCTCCTCTTCTTCCTCCTCCTCGTCCTCCTTCTCGTCCTCCTCCTCCCTCTTTCGCCTCCTCTTCCTCCTCTCCCTCCCTCCCTCCCTCCATTCACCCTTCCCTCCCTCATTCCCTCCCTCTTCAGCACTTCCTTCTCCCCCTTGTCCTCCCCCTCCTCTTCCTCCTCCTCCTCCTTCTCCTCCTCTTCCTCTTCTTTCTACTCAGCACTATCATCATCACCACCATCACTATCAGTATCATCCTCCTCCTCCTCCTCCTCCTCCTCCTCCTCCTCCTCATCATCATCATCATCATCATCATCATCATCATCATCATCTTCATCTTCATCTTCATCTTCATCTTCATCTTCATCATCATCATCATCATCATCATCATCATCATCATTATAATCATCATCATCATCGTTATCATCATCATCATCATCATCATCATCATCATCATCATCATCATCATCATCATTATCATCATCATCTTCATTATCCCGTCGACCACCACAACCATCGTCGTCGTCCACACCATCGACAGCACCACCATCACCACCATCATCACTATCATCATCATCATCAGCATCATCATCTTCATCATCATCATCCACATCATAACCTTCTCATCGCCATCATCAACATCAACAGCAGCAGCAACTTCATCATCATCATAATCATTCTCATCATGATCATCATCATTATCAGCGCCATCATCATCGTCATCGTCATCATCATCAGCCTCATCCTCATCCTCATTCTTAACACCGTCATCATCAGCATCATCATCGTTATCGTCATCGCCATCGTCACCGTTGTCGTCGTCGTCATCATCATCATCACCATCAAGACGCTTCCATGGGATGCGGAGCTGGTGCCGTGCCGGCATGACCAGGTCGGGGCGGAGGGGGCGCACTGGCTGCTGGGGGGCAGAGGATCGGGGAGAGGTGCTGGTGCCGAAGGGATCGGAGATGTAGACATTGGGTGCGAAAGTGAACGGCTGTCGTGGCATAGGCATAGACGCTGGTGCGTGTTGATGTATATTTGGCGTCGCCTATTTTTTGCCCTTCCCCCCATCACCGCCCGAGGCCATCACGAACCTGCTGAAGGCGGATTCATTTCGCAGCCTCGTGTGGTCGCAGCCAGGACTGCCTGACTCTCTTACCATCCATCCGTGCATGCAGCTCCTCGTCGGCCCACCAGATAGTGGTTTTCGCACCCGCCCACTGGATGACCACTTGTTATCCTCGACGACTTCGGAACCAGTCGGGCAACGAGCATCGCCCAAGCAGTGCTTGCACTCGGGGGTCCTTACCTCTCTCCTGAGGAGACTGGGTCTGGCTGTCGACCTAGCTGGTTTCTGGCCGCCTGTCGCAAACAGTGCTTGCACTTAGGGGTTCTTACCTCTCTCCTGGGGAAACTGGGTCTGGCTGCCGACCTGGCTGACTTCTGGCCGCCTGTCGCCTCCCGTCGCCGCCGTCTCCGGTCACGATTTGCTTGGGGCCTTTGCTGTCTGTCCGGCCAGCCTGTGGCCGCCCGTCGCCGCCCGTCGCCGCCGTCCTTTTGGTCGCGAGGCTGCGTGCACGGTGCTGACAGTCGGGGCGCTGAGGAAGGAACCCTTGTCGTTGGGGAGGGGCTCGGTGTTCCTGAAGTGTTTCGCTGCTTGCCTTGGATTTTCCCTAGGTTTTCGATACGAAATCGAAGTTGAACCCATGGAAAAGAGGGGCCTCGTTCCTCATTTAGGGTTCCTTAGGTCAACGCCCCGACTGTACGCTCCGGGCCTCTCGCTTCTCTCCTCCGAGGAACCGGGCCCGGGGGTCGGTCCGGGCGGCTCGTGGCCGCCCGTCGCCGCCCGTCGCCACTCTCTCCTTGGCTCCGATTTTCGGATTGTGCGAGGCTCGGATCTCGAAGATCTGTGCGTTGCTCTGCGTTGCTCTGCACTGCTGTTCCATGGCTTTGCGTTTGTTTGCGCGTCGCACTGCACGGCACTGCTTCGCATGGCTCTGCACTGCTGTGCACAGTGCACCGGATTGCGTTGCATTGCGCTGCTCTGCCCTGCTTTGCGTTGCGTCATCTTGCTTTGCATTGCATTGCTTTGCATTGCTTTGGATTTCTTTTTGGAAGGCAGATTCGGGCAGCCAGGATCGAAAACTGTAGAACGCACCCGAGGAACGCAGCCGCCCAACAACAATTGTGTGCAGTCGACCCGCATAGCAAGGACGGGCAACACTCCCAAGGGTACCCCTGCATCCTTGCCGCCTCGCCTCAGCCTCAGCGGCTTTTGCCGGCCAGCCTCGTCGGAAAAACGTTCCCGGGGGCCTCCAAGGCCCTCGCATCCTCACCGCGCATCCTCAGGACACGGTTTGACTGTAGGGCGTGGCAAAATAGCACAGGCCCTTGAAGGCCGCGCTGCCACGGGGGACGCGGGGCGCGTGCGCTGCAGGCCGAGCGTGTGCTGCCTTCGGCCGCTCCCGTCGGGGGGCAGCGACAAGGGCGGAAAACGGTCCTCGCGGCGTCAGACCCGCTGCCTGACGGCGTCAGGCATGCTCGGCGGCCGTGCCCCACGCACCGATTGGTAGAGAGCTAGATTCGGGCGGCGGCCGACATTGTGCAGTGGTGGGGCACTGCCCAGACGCAGGAGTGACCTCTCGCAGGAGGGACCTTTCGGGGTGCGGGCCCGGTGGGGCCCTCCAGCCCTCCGATATCGCCGACGCCAAGTGGCAGCAGCGGCCTGCGCGCCCAGGTCTGGCCACCCCGCGTCCCCCGTGCAGCCGCGCACCAAAGGTCACTCTTGCTCAGGGTCACGCTTGCGGGCAGTCCAGGGGAGGAGGAGGAGGAGGAGGAGGAGGAGGAGGAGGAGGAGGAGGAGGAGGAGGAGGAGGAGGAGGAGGAGGAGGAGGAGCAGTCCAGGGGAGGGCGTCCTGCTGTGGACGCCCTCTTGGATGGTGGCCGGCGCGCGTGCCTCTCACCGAGTGGGACACGTGGGTGGGCGGAAGCGGCGGCCGAATTTTGCGTGCCGTGCAGGGGGCGGCGGTCGAGGCTGGGGTGAGGAAGAAGGAGGAGGAGGAGGAGGAGGAGGAGGAAGAGGAGGAGGAGGAGGAGGAGGAGGGGGAGGAGGAGGAGGAGGAGGAAAAGGAGGAGGAGGAGGAAAAGGAGGAGGAGGAGGATAAGGGGCAGGATAATGGGGAGCAGGCAGAACCGCCAGACCAGGGAGGCAGGGCGTACAAGTCCTGCTGAATTTGCAAGCTCGAGATGGAAGAGGAGGAGGAGGACGAGTAGGAGGAAGTGCTGAGAAAGGGGCGCAGGACGAGGAATGCCAGGAAGAGGCGTGCGAGGGCGACGGCTTGGGCGATCATTACGATAATGTGGTGGAGGAGGGGGAGGAGTTTGGGAAGGGGCGGGACAAGGAGGACCAGGGGCCT